CCCACCAGGCTTGAGCTTGGAGCACACACAATAAGACCCAAAAACTGTATGTGTTCTGCAGAGAGTGTTTTCACTTTTGCGGCAGCATTTTGAGCTCCTTTAGCGCCCCGAGCGTAAGCGTTTCCAGTGTCTACTAGCAATTCAGTGTTTTGATCGACTAAAAAAAGTATAGTTATCGATTATCGCTGAAAACGCTGGCGGACGCTCTAAACTCTAGATCGATGCCTCTACTTTTCTCAGCACTGAAAACGCTTCAAAACTGATAATCACTCAAAGCGCCGCGGCAAAGTATAAAGCCACACCAAGTCGCGGAGATTCTGCTGTCTGTGCTCCAAGCATGAACTTTGGTCAGGCAGAGCGACACGGTGGTGCTCCTGCGGATCCGCCCTTCTACCTCGCTCCGACTACTTTGGTGCCTAGAACCACGAGGGCATAAAAAAATTAGCCGTCTAGAGTAAAAAATAGTGGTCGCCGCATTCTAAACGTCTTGGGCTTTCTGCACTGAAGTGTCTTACCTTACTCGAATAAAGCTCATAAAACTTACAGCGACAAAAATCCTCTCAGCAGTCAATTCATTGCCGGTGAAAACGTAACACAAAGCGGCAAAGAGGACGATGAGCTTTCCTGACGACCAAAACAAACCCATGACAAGCGACTGATAGACCGCATTTTGCCGCACTTTGCGCATTTCACGCCTCAACTTACAGGATTAGAGGGGACAGTGCGCGGTAAAAAAAGGCAAACTCTCACCTCCTCAAGTCAGCAACAACTTCTGAGAACGCCCCCTCCCAGGCATACATCTTAATCACTCGAATACCATTCAGTATTTCATTCATGATGCTGATACGTTTATCCGTACGTGCTGCGATAGCTCTCCTGCAGAAATTGTTCGAGTATTGCAGTGTAAATATTGACAATAAAAACAATATTAAGCCTGTAAAAAACCTGCATGATCCCATCTGTCTGCTGAAGTAGCCTTGAATCGGGATGAGCAGTACCAAGGCTCCAAAACCTTAAGCAC